GGATCATGAAGCCCAACCCAGCCTTCGTAGCACTGATGGTCTGTGACCCGGTTCCTAGTCCTAAAGCCTGCATTTGTCAGCTGAGGTGGTCCTGGATCCTTTGAATAGGGCCTTGCTGATGTGGTAATGTGGGTAGACTATGACAGTTCCTCTAAGCTTTCTCTAGTGGCACCTCAGACAATTTAATAGACTGTGTAGGATGGGGCACAGAAAGGGGACTACACAGACTTTCTGGGAGTTATTAGAAAGTAGTCCTGCACCTGCAAAGCCATCATAATTTACTGCTTAAAGCTTATAAAAGCCAGATGAGAGATAGAATCTTGGGCCACATCTATCTAAACATGAGTCTACTGGTCTAACTTGTGGGTACTTCTCCAGTTCCAGAATGTACAATGGGAATAGATATATCTACTAGCTGGGAGAATTCCACAATGATTCCTACACCACTACAATGAAAACTGTATTAGGAAGGGCCAAGTGCAAACAAACTCCTGGGCCTGTATCGGGGGTCCTCCCATTCCGCGGAAGAAATCACCCGACACTTGAGAGAGTCTCCAAGGCGCTTTATTCTGATCTTCCGTTGTGTCCGTTCACTCCGTTGTGACCGATATGACCGTTACACTCCAGCCCCTCCCTTGCCAAGCCCCCCGCTTATTTGTCAAACCTGACCAATCAACTTAAAGATAACCAAGGCACACCAATCAGGGCAAAGGGCCAATCACAGGGCAGGAAATGATCAGTGCCCCCAACAGGCCTGAACTCCATTGTCATTTCCAACAAGACAGGAGGCCCTACAGGGTTATCCTGAGGCTTCAAAGACACAGGGACGGTGAACCACAACTTCCCTGTTTAACTCACTTGTTTAGCTGGTGAAAAGGTGAAGTTATTTGTGGGGTATTATAATGTATTATTACAAACTCAATCAGGCAGTGATACCAATTGCAGATGTACTTTTAGACGTGGCACCTTTTTTTTTTCTTAGATTTGTTCATGCACCTCTATTTCCAAATCAAAGATGGACTCCCAATGCAACTGTTTCTGCTATTGTCTGTGCCTACAATGTCCAGATGCACTTATATAGCAAAATGATGGGTTTATGACTGTTGTTGAAGGACTATACTATTGTAATAATATAGAGGAAATCAGTGCTGGGAGGAGAATTGGGAATGGTGGGGAGGGGAAATCCCTGAGCCTTTGGAACTATATCATAAATAATGGATACATGGATAAAAAGGTTTGTTTATTTGAAGGTTGGAGTTTTAGATTTTAGAAAACTATTAGGTGAGAGGATTACAGAGAGATGGAGAGATAGAGATAGATAGAGACAGAGAGTGCTTCTATTTGCTGGTTCATTCCCCAATCTGCCTCAATGACAAGAGTTGAGACAGTCTGAAGCCAGGAACCAGGAAATGCCTCCAAATCCCCTACATAGGTGCAAGGATCCAAGGACTTGAGTCATCCTTTGCTATTTCCTAGTCCATAAACAGGAAGCTGGATAGGAAATGGACAAGCTGGGACTTGAACCAGTGCTCATATAAGATGCCAGTGCCACAGATGAAAGCTTAGACTATTATATGTATGCTGGTGCTGGCCCCCAGTTGTGGTAGTTTCACTGTAACAAATCAGTATAGCCCCCAGAATTTAGTGTGTAGTTATTGATCTAGAATATTTGCTATTCCAATAAGTAAAACTCAGAATTAGTTTGCTTTTGAAAGATAGGGACCAACTTACATTGTTTTGCCCTATAACCATGTCTACTATTCTACAACCTGTCACAGGTCCTGAGTCCTTGGTAATCTTTATGTTCCCACAGGACCCAATTGCATTGAAGACACATGCAGCATGGTCTAATTTACTGAAATAGCAAGTCAGAAAGTGAAAGACAATTATTGCTAAGGACCATGACGTATCAGCTCTGGCAGCTTGAGGCATTTTGGGAGGGCTAAAGTTGTTGGCAAGTTGTTGAACCATATCACAAGAATAAAGGAATACAATGCTTATTGGAATTGTGTTTTGAAGGCAACAAATGCCAACCACTGCACAGCCTGAGAAGCTTGTGACTGTGTGTGGCATCTGTAGGAAGAAAATTGTCCACAACATGATTGAAGATTCCATGTCACTTGGTCATCCTGACCTGGAAGTTTAAGTGATTGGAAACATTAGTGGCTGAATGGAGGTGTGCCCAGGCCTGACAGAATATGAGCATAGAACCCTAGCATCTTGTTTGTGAAAGGTAGTTTTTGCCTTGTGACTGATCCCTGATAGAGAAAACGTATTCCATTATGGGATGACAAGTGATCTTGCTGTCTGAACAATCTGCCCTGCACTAGGTGATGTATGATACACTGAATCACAAAATTGAATGTAAGTAGCAGTATTCCATAGTAAATGTGACACTAGGTTTCCCACTTAAGAAGTATAGAGGACACAAGGAAATTGCACAGCAAGTGCTTAGATTGCCACATAGTTCCACCTTGGAACTTTGATGCCTTTTCTTCAATCCAAAGATTTGTCACCACAGGGAGTTCTATAGGACAAGAATAGCCAGGTGTCCAGGTTTGTCCTAGACAGTACTGTTTTATGCCTGTTGTCCAGCACAAGCATTACGAACACCATCCCTTTTATTGTCATCTCATAATAGTTACTGAAGAGAAAACAGTATCTTCTTGGATCATGGTTTCTGCAGCTATTCTGGCATTAACTGGAATTCGATAATAAATGCACCACAACCCCTTCAATGTCTGGTTGTCTATTTTGTGTGGTAAGAGAGATGACCTGAGATACAAAACTACAGTGTCTCAGGAATGCATGAGAAAACTTAGCTGGTTAGGTGAAAAAGATGGAAAAGGAAAAAAAAAATTAAGAAGATCAATGATAAGGAGTGCCCAGAAGAAAGATTATTAGAATAAACCTCCGAGAACAGGACATTGTATGAGGGTATTTGTTTCTTATGTAAATGCCTGGTGGAGGAAATTCTCAATGAACCAAGACATCCCCTACTGAGTGTGACATGTACTTTCCCCCGGCCACTCCAGGGTTTGCTCAATGGACCAGTTTTCAGAATGATTATGGAGACAGGGATACAGATTAATCAAGGACTCAACCGCCTGACACCCTTATCCATTGAAGTTGACTTATCTAACGCCATGACTAACTGCCCAGGCTGCCTATGGCGGAAGTCAACTCCATGGCTTGATATGACAGCATTCACCCCCTTAAGTGGCCTCATAAACGGATGCTCTGAATCGTGCAGAAGGACCAGAAGAGCACTACTTGAGTGTGAATGAAAATCTCAAATCCATCAGATAACCTGAGCAACTCTGTTCTCCCACTGTTACTACAGCTGTCCTGTTGAGTTCACTTTATCAAATGCATTGGTTTGAGAGGGAGGAAACTGCTATGATTTACCAGTTTCTTCTGTGTTCTTTGTTCTGACAGTAAGTCTGAGAGCTAAGTTGTTGCTCCATGCTGCCCATGAGAACACAGAAATTCAGTTTCACATCTGAAGTTTCAGAGATGATCAGTTGTAGTGTCAAGGTTTTGAATATGATCTGTCCTTGTGTGCTTGTCTTTTGCCTACTGCTTTTTAAGAGATTGGAAGGCTAAGGTGGGTCTCAGTGGGTACCTGTTGGCTACTGTGAAAGTCATTTTTCTTATCTTTGCACCACTTAATGAACCTGTAGGGGGGAAACTTGGTTTTGTTGACAGCATTTCTCCTGCAGCTCTGGTCTGTGGAGTAGCACCAGAAAAGCGAGGCTTTATGCTCCTGTTGAGGCCCCTAAAGCATGCTGGGCTGGGAGGCATCGCAGCGTACTTTTTCTGGCTGTTTCCTCGGATTGTCCACTAAAGGATGGTTGTGAGTCTGAGTCCCATGGAGTTAGAGATGTCTCGGGAAACTGAGGGCAGTGTGGTAGGAGACATTTTCAGGGGTAACAATTTCTGGGTCAGGAACCTTGTAAATTATGCATATAGTGTTAGCTGACTTACCCCTACCCCCCGCATTGTTGACAAGCAAGGATCATTTTCTGCTCCTTCCTGTTCTATGCCACAGTCTGTAGGAATGAGCTATTTCTCATACGATGCTAAGTGATACATCTTGTGTTCCTTCCCCTGGAGGCCTTATTCTGCAGCTATTTTTGGTACTTTTCTGAGAAAATTTGTCTAATTCCGGCCAGCCTCTCCATTGTCCAGCAAACAACTCAGGTTCCTCTTCTAAGTGGTGCCAAGAACACCTGTAGTTGATCTTTTCACTTGTCACATGTATTACAGATTGACAAAACTTTGAAAGATTTGTGGAAAGGAGAATAAAAGATGTTTATTTAAGTGCAAAAAATTTTTTAAATCTATGCAGTTTCTCATATCACATATTTTCATGAGAATTTTGAAGACCGCTCACATTCTGCAGTGTTTTAATAGCTGTGAATAACAGAGCTACTCCAAGAATGGTGATTTCTGTCATTTTTAAGATTGTTAATGTAGCTGTCAGTCTTGTCCATTGCTAACTTTGAAGGAAGAGACAGTATCCCTGACATCTTGCTTAATGCGTAAGGATGTAGGTTGATATTTAGCAAATTTTCAGTTGAAAGAATGCATGGATTGAATAAATTAACAGTTACAGATGTGATGACTGAGTGTGCTTTACTTAACTGCTAAATGTTTATAAATAATAAGCATTTAATTCCTGATTATTTTCAGTGAGAACAATCCTTTATTTAAAATAGGCTAGATTTGTTTTCTTTTCTTACTAGATTAATAAAATACTCTACAAATGAGAATTTTAAATCCAATAAACCAAACCCAGGAACTTGCCACCAATTCTCACTTAATAAAGTTTAAATGAAATAGTTCAGAATTCTGAGTATGTGTTTTGCTTAGGGAAGAAAGCATGGCTATGCTTCCTGGATGTCAAAGTATGAGGCTAATACAAAGAATTCTATAATGACCAAGACAGCTAAGAAGCAATTATGATCAAATGCTGAGACTTTTAGATTACTCTGATGTTATCAATCATGCTTTTATATCACAGTCAACACATTTTATTTCAGCAAGAGGACAGCAAGAAGGCCACCTACACTATTTCTAGCCACTTGTGTTTATTAGTACATGCTTTGTGTGTTTAATGCCTTTGCTGCAGAAGGGTAATAAGTGTTTTAGCAAAAAGGTACACTACAGGGACAAGGCTGGGCAGCTTATGCATACAGGAAGTAGCTGTGATCTCAGGGCCATCAGGCCCATCAGGGCTCTGGGAAGCGCCACGCATCACGCATGATCTGGGGCTGCTGATCTTTGTTGCCCAACATGGGTATTTCCTGAGTGTTTGGGGTCATTGGGGTATCCGTGGTAGATTCTTCCTGGAAACCCAAAGGTGTGGTCATATCAGGGCCATACATATCATACACCTCAGCTACTTCAGGGGTTGCCAGTGGACCAACAGGTGCGGGGGTGACCCGGGGGGGTCCCATCCTCTGCCCCGCAGGGCCCATCGCCAGGCTGGGAACATGGTCCTTCGGGAAAGCCAGGAGGCCCGCATGAACGCCGTGTGCTAGCTCTTGAAGGAGACCTGGGTTTGCAGGATTGGATGGGTTGGCCTCTGGCATGGGAGAGTCTTGTGTGCCTCCTTCTCCCTTCTCAGGACCTTTGGTTGCAGCCCCTGGGGAGTCAAACTCCAGAGTAAAATCCCCACCCATGGCCGGGTTGCGGGGCATTTCACCAAGGCTTTGCCTGATGCCTCCGAATCTTGGGAATATGGCTCCGTAGCCCATTGGTCCTCCTCCTTCTCCCTGGGGGGGAAAAAACCAAGATACTGTCATCATAGGCTATTATATCCTGTCATTTTCGCCAAGAATCTACAAAGAACTGATAGCACAGAGTTGGCTGAGAGCTTTATGTAAGCACATTTCACACTAAACTAGCTTTGAAATATAACAGAGAGGATTCTGCACCCATCTGGGTAGAAGGCCACTGCTCTGAAAGGGAGCTTGAGACCTTCCACCACTCCTGACTAGAAGAATGGCAATGGGGCTCCAGGGCAAAAGAAAGATAGTGCAACTAGTTTGACTTGAATTTTAAGAAAACAACAGGTGCTTGGAACAGCAACTACTATCATGAACCCAAGAAAACCTGAACTTTGTAACCGTATTTGTTGTGGGATGTTTTGAAGGGTCAATGCAATTTGGCAGTATCTCCCAAACGGAATGAGCCCTACACAAGAGGTTTTTTTTTTTTTTAAAAAAAAGCAAACTATAAGAAAAAGCTTGACTTCTCTGGAGGAATCACAGTCTTGTCTTCTTGTGGACAGATAGAACAGGAGAGCTGATAGTGGGTCTCTACCTTTGTTGTCAGCAATATGCACCCCCCAATTTGGGGCTATTTGCAGCTATTGAGCATGGCTGTGTGACTTGCACATCTGCAGTCTGTCTTCTTTGCTACTTGTTCTCATCTAAAATCCTGCCTTCAGTTGTTTGTAATACTTACGATGTGATTTTTTTTTTTTCAGGAGTGGACTGTATTGGGGGAATGAGGCAGAGTATACATAATTAACATTACCAGGAGGTAGTCAACACTTAATGGGTGAAAGTCCTATGCTCATTGATAACCATCACTTAGAAACGCATGCCAATCCAGGGACCATGATGTAATTTTGGATACTGCTTTGGAATCAAGCTTTTAGCTTTGGAGTGGAAAAACCTGAACCCTGTGCCCATTTGGCTGTTATTGCAACCAGTCAGCTTGCAGCCAATCATCTGGGACTGCCCTTCCCTGGCTACTATTTTAAGAAGAGCTAGAAGACATTACTCACGGGCATTTCTTCTGAACTCATGATGCCAAGTCTGGCAGGGGCATTCTGTTCAGAGAGAAATATTGCATCATATTATGAACCAGCTGCCTTCTATTTACCTTCTTATCTACTCAAGACAAAGTTAAAAGTCATTTGGCTCTCTGTCAAACTTTAGTATTAATGCTTTTCCAGAGGCAGAGCAGATCAGAGAAGTGAGCTGTTACTGAATTAGTGTGGCCAACTTGAATAATTCAGATTTAAAATTTACTTTTTTTAACCCCTTTGTGTGTGTGTGTGTGTGTGTGTGTGTGTATCTGGTAGAATAGTCCAAATATAGAGGGAACTATGTGTCTTTTTTATTTCAGTTGCAAATGGTAGGCACTCAGATAATATTCATTTGAAATCTTTTATGTGAGATCCAAATTTTATAACTTTAGTTCTTAAGATAACATTCATTAAAAAGATACCTTTTATGAAATATAGACTTACCATTTGATTTGCTCCATAGGACATGTAAAACATACCTGGATAAAGCTAAATAAAGTACGATAATGATCACAGAATGCATTTAACAAAGAGGAAAGTTTTAATAAATTAAAAATAGAGGGGTATTAAAACAAGGAACAACTTACCGCAGCATGTGTGTTTTGTGGCAGTGGTCCCCGAGGTATCAAGCGGGCTATTTGGAACACCTGTAAATGGTAGAAACCAAAATGAGTTATTGACTTGGGGAAAATCGCCATTATTATAGTGAATTCCTGAGTTACTGAACACAGTTTCAGATGGATCAATGTCAAAACTTAGGTTCTGATATTAAGAAACAAAGGAAACTATTAGACTGGATACTCATGGATAAATGGGACAATTCAAGCATTTCACTCAAGTTTTTGAATGTGGAGACATTCTCACCCCTCCTCCCCCAAGAAAGTCTCATTGAGAGTTCTACTTACAGTTGGAACTTGTGGGCCAGCAAAATCCATTGCTGGGAGCTATGGTACAGATAAACAGTAAAGTTACCAGTCAAAATAGACAAAATGAGCAGAATACACACACTTGTAAACCATTATGTTAAAAAAAGGCATTCTAAGTTGAGTCTCTATTTGTTGTCATTTTATAGTCTTTCGGGGGTACAACCCAGGAGTTCTCAGTGCGTCTCTGTAGACCTGACTGCAGAGCACCTGCAGTTGCTCAGGGTTGCCCATCCCAGATTTGCTATTTGGCTCTTAGAGAGCGAAAAGTCACGCGTTTTAGCACTGGATGGCACTTGATTGGTTTGAATCTTAGTGTTGTCACTTAGTTTTTGTGTGAGTCTGGGCAACTTAACCTATAAGTCTGTCTTCTTCTGTTTAAAATGATGATAATGTCTGTCTTTGAATGACTCTTGTGAGCATGCTCTGGGGGAGGATGCTATGTGCCTGCAACACTCCAGTTGTATACTTCCACGCCTAGTGCTCTGCTGTCTACGTCATCACAAGGGATTCTGCATGGTTGTAATCACTCAGAGACAACAGCATGGAATCCTACTTGTGATGTTGCGGGATCAATTCCTACATGTAACATTTCAGCGCTGTAAACACACAGACACACATACACACACACAGAGTGATAGGAAGCCTGGTGATATCTGTTTGGGCTGTCTTATTTTTCTCAGAAGCGTTCATCTTTGCAACTCAGATAGCAAGTTTTGTGGCCGTGTGACCTGCGGGGATCTGTGCCCTGTCTCTGATGGCAAGATGGAAATGTAGATTCTGCTCGAAAACTAAATTCCGGACGGGAAGGGCTTATCAAGTACGTAGCTGTATTTTTGTACATTATGCTTTAAGGCTATGATTCTTTAAATGTGCACCTTACAGTACTCACTTTGGCAGCACAGACACTAAATGTGCTTTCCAAATTCTCTTTGGTTGGATTCGTAGGTGATCCTAACTTGACTTCCGGGAAGGGAATTACCTCAGGATTTGGAGGCTTCTCTGATGGCGCCACCTGCTGTTCAACCTCTGGTACTTCTGCATCCTTCAAGGGCAGCTGTCCCGGGTGCATCGGATGCTGAGGCCCTCCCTTGCGGGGTGTGCCCTGGATGGCTGGCGCAACAGTTGGCTGGAGGAAGGATTTCATTCCCGGCTGTGGAGGCGGCAGGGATGGCTGTGATGGGAGAGGTGGGGGATGCACAGGCAAAGAATATTCATACTGCAGAGAAATTTGAAAAGAAGGTCAGGAAGTGATGGTTCATGGAGCTGTGGTGCCTAGAATTTCTAAAGCAAAAGGACTTAGGTACTTTTCTTCCTGGAAGGGAGGCTGAGGGACTTGTCTGGAAGCAGTGTTTCCATCACAAGCATTAATTTTCTTTCTAGTATTTCTTGTCATTTATTTGAAAGGCAAGGGAAGAGGGAGGGAGGGTGGGAAGGAGAGAGTGAGACAGTGATGGAGTGTCTTCATTTGCTGTGGCACTCCCCTGAGTGCCAGTGACAGCTGGGGATGAGTCATCCTGAAATCAGGAACCAGGGATTCCATCTGGGACTCCCACACGGGTGGCAAGGGCCCAGGTGCATTACGAGCCCTCATCTCCCGTGTCCTAGGATGTGCGTTGGCAGGAAGGCTGGATTGGAAGTTGAGATAGAACTCAAACCCACAATCCCAAGTGGCATCTCACCTGTTGTGCCCAGGAAGCACTGATTTTCATGAGTCAGTGTTGTTGGGGGAGCCTTTGTGTATATCTGCCTCCTCTACCCCCTTTGGGCCCACCACTGCCCACGACCACAAGAAGTTCCCTGAATTTCTGGTGGAATGACTCATTGTTTCCTCTGTGTTCAAGTAGCTTCCTGAATGTATCTTTGTTTCACTGTGCTGTCAGTAGACTCTGCTGGTTTTTTTAAATGAATCTTTGCTCCCCTCATCCCCCAAGTGAACTGAGAATAATGTGTTTTATTCATCTTTGTAGCCCATGCACTTCCCAACAAGTGCCGGGCACGTGGTGGGTACTTATATTTTTGAGTCATGAAAAGGATTAAGAGAAGTTAAGTACACCACAAATTCAATTCCCACAGCAGAATTCACTTTGGAAATAATTCTTCAGATGAAGAAATAGCTGCCATGAACATGGTTTATTCTCCTACTACATGTGGCCTGGTGCATAATGTTCCTTTTGTGGAAAGCTGTGCAGAATTAGAAGCTCCTGTGAAAATCACGGTTTTACTGCTTCTTTTAGCAATTATTTGTGGTGAACTGTGAATGGCCCGTGGATTGTTAGAAAATCCTTGAGATCTGGGCCAGAGTCTCACAATGGCTCCGTTCTCTTTTGAACCTTTCCTCCGGCAGATCTCTAAATTCCTATAATATTCATTACAATTTATTAGCCTGAAATACACTGTTTCATGTTGTTTACCAGTCATTTCACGATCCTTTGAGCTATTTTGCATTCAGCCCCAAGCCTCAGTTTGACTGAAGTACTTGATTGGAACCTATAAACTAGTGGTTAATGGATGGATACATTGACTGATTTATCGGGGATTCATTTGCCTTTAAGTAATTAATTAGGGAATATTAACTAAGATTAAAACCTACTTTATATCACTTCCTTTTCTAAGAATTGCTTATCTGTTGTCATTGATATCTTTATGTTTTTCTCTACTTGAAATAGATATGCAAATGGTTCAAAGAGTTTTCTTATGTACTGAATGCTTTATTTCATACTAGGATTTTTTCGTAGTTGCTGGGACTTGTGTATTCCTAGTACATTATAGCTTAAGAGAAGGCAAGTATGGAAAGATTCTGATTGGTAAAGTTTGAACACACTTATGCGATTAGCTTACCTGTTGAGTCTCCTGCTCCCTTGGCCTCATCCATGGGAAAGAGGAAGGTGGTGGGAGAAGACCTTGCAGCCACAAGGAATTAAGTGATTTTCCAAATTGGCCAAATTTAGAAAGCTAAGGACATAGAGCGAAAAGATGCACCGACATTTAAATATTAAAAAAAAAACACACACAGTTAAAGCTGGTTAATGAAAATCAATAGGTAAATTCTTTCAACAGAATCAAATTTCATTCTGAGCCGTGATACAATGGTCCCATTACTGTTTCTGAGGTTTGGCTTTCCAATACCTTGTATTTTGGGTCATATAATAAAATTGACAAGCAAGAAATAATTTTTTTTTGTTATTTTTTTTTGTTATTTTTTCCTTTGATATCTTACTTTATTGTTCCATCCTGGCTCAGGCCCTTTCCTTTCCCCTTCCCTTTCTTCCTTCCTTCTCTCTCTTCCTTCCTTTCTTTCTTCCTTCCTTCCTTCCTGCTTTCTTCCTTCCTTCCTTCCTTTCGTTCTCTCTCTCTCTCTCTTTCTTCTCTTCTTTCTTCTTACACATTTATTTATTTTCTTTACAAAGGCAGATATACAGAGACAAGGAGATAAAAAAATTTCCTCTGTCCACTGTATCACTCCTCAAGTGACTGAAATGGCTGGAGTTAAGCCAATCTGAAGCCAGGGAGCCAAGAGCTTCTTTGGGTCTCCATTGCTGGTGCAGAGTCCCAAGGTTTTGGCCCATCCTCTATGGCTTTCCCAGGCCACAAACAGGGAGCTGGAAGGCAAGTGGAGCAGCCTGAACATGAACCAGCACCCACATGGAATCCTGGCACTGGCAAGGCTAGGATTTAACCACTGAGCCATCGCACAGGACCTTCAGTCACTAATTTTTTTTTTTTCAATGTTAAGGCTACTTTCTGTTCACAAACACATTTATAAACCACAAGGCTGCTGCTAATTTTATGACCATCAGTGCCATTAATACTTGTAAGAAATCTTTGGATATAGGATTACCTGAGAAAGCGCATTTAACCCCTGCAGACTTCCCAACTGTCTCATTGTCTGTAAAGAAAAAAAAGGTGGGTTACTATTCATCATGTGTGTTCCTTATAAAATCACTGATTTTTCATAATGTGACATTATTAGCACAAAGTTTGGGCTGAGACAATTTAATACACCAAAGCAGGTATAAATCATTACTGAAAAGAAGCAATCAATACCGTTCCACCTTTGTTTTATTGTGTTTCTTGTTATTAATAAACCTTACTTTATCATTTATTGAAGGATAAAATGTCATTTAAATGGCATAACATTTAAACATAAGAAAATAGCTATCAACTGAAATGTAAATGTGCTTAGAAGGGTGTTGCTTTACTAGCTCTTTTCTCCCATTTAATTTATTCAGTCTTGCAACAAGCTCAGAAAGGAATAGACAGAAAACCCAAATCAACCTCCACCTCAAACGAGAAAAACTTTCAAAATAGTAAATATAAAATACACTAGAAGAAATGGTAAGTGGATGGACAAATGATCAATAATAGTGCTATTTCAACTGTCAAGTCACCTTTTTTTTTTTAATGGAAAGGAATTTAGAGTGCTTCAGATTAGGTTTTAATTTGAAAGTAAAAAAAAAAAACTCGGTGAAATTAGATTTCTTGTGTCACAAACAAGAAACCCATGTTTATACTGAGTGACATTACATGGTCATGAGGGAAGGAAAATTTGCAAGGTCTTGTAACCCATTTTTAATCTCATATTTTTCCACACTGATGATTTTGTTGATACCATCACAGCTACTGTTCCGCTGAGGTATCTGGGTGAAATATGTTATTTTTGAGAATTTCTGTAAGATAAATACAACATTAAGGTTATGCAGGTGCTGTTATGGCCAGTGCTAACGCTTTGCACTTGTAAGCCGTTGGATTTTGTATAGGTGCATATTCTTGAGTGTTTATCATATAAGTTACTATAATTAGTAGGAATATAAATCATCTGTGATTACAGAGAATTGTATTTAATTTATGTAGCCATTATATTAAAGTAAATTTAGTGAACATTAGCTATTATTAGGATAGGATTTCTTTGATTCACATAGAGATTTTAGTCTAAAGCTTAAAAAATCCAGTTGTTTAAAACTGTGGAAGGCTCAGGTGTTTGGTGCAGTGGTTAGGATGCTTAGGATGCCAGCATCCTGCACCAGGGTGCCTAGATGGAGTTTCAGCTTGACCTCTGAGTCCAGCTTTCTGGCGAATGTGCACCTTGGGGGGCAGTAGGCAACAGCTCAAACAGCTGGGTCCTAGCCGTCCACTACGGAGACTTTAGGCTAGCCATGCTCTGGTTATTTTGGGGGAATGAACAAGTAGGTAAGGGACTGCTGTTTTTTCAATTCAATTAAATCATATTCAATTTAAAAAATTACAGAAGAGATGCAAGACAAAGTTCCATACATGTATCGACTTCTCTAGAACTGCTCAGGGTGACTGCTAGACTTTGGTCTAGGACAAGTTATCAAGTTTCTGCCTTAAGAGAAGCATATCGATGGAGGGATTGTATGTAAAGTCTTTGGCCATACATACCTCAAGACTCAGACTAGCCATGCCCGGTGTCCCAGGTTGCTGAGGAAATGCCTAAAAGAAAATAAGAATAGTATAGCGTTGTGTTTGGTGAAGCCTCCTTAATGGAGGCCTGGGGATGCCCGACTACCCCAGTGGAGAAAGGTCGGCTACGGGACTACCTGATGGCTTTAGTATCCAGGTTACTCTAGCTTTTGGGCTACATGAAGAAACACGTAAGTTATTTGGGAGAATTCAAGTTGTATTTAGTAATTTGGCTCCTACATGAACATCTATCCTCTGAATCTTAATGCTCTGGTGCTTTAAAAACAAAATTTGATTTTAAAGTTATATATAGTGAAAAGTTGTATAAAGCAACAGAATATAAAACCTTATGCCTTGGATCTATGCTGTGGTGTGGGATCATGTGTTCAGAAAAAGTGAGTGTAAAACTGACTTGCCTAGTTTTTGACAGGCTTCAAAAACCCTTCATCCTCTCCATGGAGAGTGTATTTTATGTAAAAACCCAATGATCTGTGCTTTTCTTTTAGACCATGTTACAGTTTTTCTTAAAATAGCACCAAGTACTGTACTACTAAACTTCTTGTGCTCATTTAAAAATTGTTTAAAAAATGTTTACAACTAGATTTAAATATGTAGCCAATTCTTGTTAACATAGTATACACACATAAGTGGATGGCATGAGGAAATGAGGAGTAGAAATATGTGCAAATTAGATTTTGACAGATTCTTGTTCTTTGGATATTCTCACTATGTCAAGGCAGAGAGTTGGATGCCTTCTTCCTCACATTATACCACAAAAATCTATAAGATGTCTGCTAATGTGCTGAGATTAGTTCTTCCTTTATGGGTAAGTAGTTCAGGAATTCCATCCGTTGCTATTTCACCTTTATGATTTCTCCTGTAAGTTAAGTCCTACTTTCTGAACCATGGTGCAAATTTCTTCAAGTAATTCAGTGTTGGACATGAATAGAGGCAAAAACATTGAAAGTATGTCACAAACATTCTGGATAGAGAAAGAGATTGCATGGACAGGAACAGTGTGTGTGGCTTGTGTAAGTTTTCAACAGGCCATTGCAAAGTTGAGTGGACTGTGAGAGTAGAGCCTTCTTTTTTCCATTGGTCAACATACAAAACCCCAAAATTTGGAGATGCAACTACCGGACAAAGTATACTCCATTTTCCATCTATCCTTACTTGTGAAGTAACAATATTCACTTGAGTAGAAATAGACATAGGATATAGCTTTCAGTGTAAATTTAAAAAGGCCTTGGAATTGATGGGCAGTCAGTTGACAATCATAAGTGATTGTCCTGTTCCTCACAGTGGGCCTGAGTCAGATGGGTGAATGTAATAGAAGGTGAATGTAACAGAAGGATGATGGATAATTAACGCTGACCTCAATGTCAGCAGCATACAGGAGTGAACTAGGATGGTCCGTCTTGCATGCTGGAGCAGAAATAATGTTATTAATTGTGGAATTATGTTTTCACCCTCTTTCTCCAAAAATATTTAGGAAACTCCAAGAGACTTCCTCTTAAGGAAATAGAATAATCAAAAGTGAATTTGAAGTCAACCATGTGCTTCTGAGGATAACAGACCATATACCGGGGAGATATACACCACTGCTCAGCATATATAAAGGCACTTTAGAATGTTAGTGGGAAAACAGAATTAAACAGTGAGCTTATTTTGATTCAAAATTTGAAATTCCATGCATAGTTTTTTTCATAATCAAATTTCCATAGCCATTTTGGTGACCCTCATATTTGCTGAATGCATTTAATAGCTGAAAAATGTCTTTGGGTTGACAAAATCAATGCTAATTGCTGGAGTAGTTCAGGGCTCAAAGGATCACATTTGTATGACATTATTACATGACAAAGTGGATCGCGTGTGGATCCAATTAGCCTCCTTTATATAACATGTTTTGATTTAAGAAATTTCAGCTCTTAGTCACACAGTGTCACCCCAATGAGCTAACTTTGCTAATTACAAGCTTTAATGAAGTTACCTGCCTTTGTGTTGTAACTCTAGTCATTTGGCTAATGTTTTGCTTTTTAAAAATGAAGAGAATGTACCTTATTTTTTTCAGAAAAAAATTCTCCTTACATTTCAATTTCAAAATGATAGCAAGGAGTTGATAATATAATCGTTTGCCTAGGTCTTTTCACTGTAAATGAATAGGATGAGATTTAGAATTTTTTTGGCAATATTTTAAGCATTATTTGCAATACAAAAAGTGTATGACATTACTTTTTTATGATTAGGCAGCCATGTGGGCCACTGTGTGTCTGTACTTGTTAGTGGTTGCGCCTCTCTGTACGAGCTCCCAGCCAATGGCCCTTCATTGCTACCTGGTGTACAACAGCAAGGAGCTCCTTACAGGGCGCCTGCTAGCGACTGACTCACCGGCACTGCAAAACTTGTTCCCAGGAGGCACAGGAGCAAGATCAGGCCCTTCATCTTGAAAAGCGGGATCTGAAACACAGTTGTGATGGAGAAAGAAAGCAGATGAAGTCTTGCTTGAGAATGATTACAAAGACAAATTTAGAAAGAAGCCAAAGCCTCTGCTCTTCTAAAACAACTGAGTTAAGAAACAAATTATTGAAAAGCTAAATACTGCCAAACAAGTGATTTGTAGTTAGTATTTCTGGGATTAATGGACACTTATAAGCTAAATGGACATGCAGCAGCAACCTCCATGGATATTCTTTTAAGTGCTATGTTCCATTTTGTGCAATAATTTATGAGTAAAAAAAATTCTATTCCTTAAATAAAATTTTGATCTAGAAAAGATTTTCAGTGGTTATATTTCATTTAATGCCTAGAACAAATTCTGAAACACACTTAAGATATAATTCACTGAACAGTCATTTTATAATATGACTATTTTTTTTACATCTTAATGCTTTTCTAAACTAGGAACAAAAGACAATATTCACAAATAACAAGGAATAAAATCTATAGATACGTTTTTCTTAGCTCAACTGGATTAGTAGTAGGCAAGAGCCATCTCTACTCTGGAACACACTAGTGGTTTCTGATAAGCAGTTATTCAGCTGCTGCCTGTCACTGGAGATAAATCTTGTTTGCAAGAAAAACAAAACTTACAGGAAACATAAAAATCATTAAATCACATTTTACCTTAGATTCTGACATTCACCGTGCGCTCAGGGCCTTGTGATGCCAACCAAGACTGCTCTAAGAAAAGATGAAACTTTTTCCTGCACTCTGCCTGGGACTTGCTCTGGGCCTTTCATTTCAAGGAAGATCAGAAACCTTTATTTAAAGTACCAATCCACCAATCAAAGTGAGGCAAAATGAAGGGGGGGAAAAATCTCTGATCCTGCAATTAGTCCACACCCTTTTATTGCATGCAAGAACGTTGGCCCAGGAGGGTCTCATTATTTTAAATTGCAACCTAGCCCCTGTATTTATTCAGAGAACTCGATTGCAGGGAAAAGTGCAAAGGAATAATGGATGCAGGTTCTGAAGACAATAATTTCAGTGAGCTGGCGGGAAATATATGCAAAAGAGGTGCAAAGCAAGCCATTATCTGTTTTGTGCAGAGGCTTATCTGAAGATAAAGCTAGTGACCCAATGCCATCTTTCTTGATATTTTCACACCTCTGTTTGTTGTGGTAAAACAACTCTCCCTCCTCCCTTCAACATACTCACACCATTTGGAGGTGAACGCCAAATATTTCCTGGGCTTGGTAGGGAAGAGAGGGAAACGTTACCTGGAAAGTACTACATTATTTTTCCTTCCAAATTTCCTAGACATTTTAATTCCTAAAGAAAATTGATTGGAAATAGCCATGCTTTTATAAGACATTTTGCTTGGACTCTGCAAGAATCTCTTGGAGGTAATCTTGGGGGAGCACGTTTGTTGTAGGGGAAAAAAGATCAGAATATTCTCTATGAGCCAATCCCATCAATGGGAACAGCTCTCACTTCAGTCTTTACATAGACCTGCTTCCAGGTGTTCATATCAAGTTAGGTGAGTGACATATATTTGAGTCACTTAAAAGACTAACATCAACATGGATGGATTTTTCTTCACGAACAGATGAATATATCTTGGCTGTAGATTGGATGCTAGCTGCTGCTATTTCTCTGCCCCTCTTGGTCTTTCCAAAGGTGTGATTTTATACACTATAGGGTTAGGCATTTAAGATTAGTTTCTGGAGAAGGGATGAGTCAGTACACTCTTTAGGGAAGTAGAGATCTTGCCAATTACAGGGAACATTGAGGAAACTGGCATTTTGGGAGAAAGACATCTCCACACTCAAGAAGGGCACAGCAGCTTCAGGAGTGTTATCTAATACACCGTTGCTGAAGAATTTCATTTCCATTGATGACAGAATTCTCTTTAGAATTCAAAGGAATGAATATTGTGAGTGTGTTTTATAAACAGCAAAGTGTTATTAAAGTAAGAATATTTTTTTCTCTGTCCATTCCCTAGGTCTAGTGCTTGATCTAATCCCCTACACTCTCTGCATCCAGTGTCTTCCTCAGTAATTGGAAAACAGCAATTTACTAGTATAGGCTTGCCTTGGGAAAGTTTGCTCATGATGGTTGTGTGATAGAAGCTAAACAATCCATGATAAATAAATGGGTTAATTGTCCTTTTTGTGGTAGAAGATGTGTGAAACATGGAACCACAGTGTGTGTGTGTGTGTGTGTGTGTGTGTGTGTGTGTGTGTTGGAGGAGGAGATGTGCTGGCAGTTAGGTATAGAGCTCCAAAGAAGGAAGAGGAAGGGCCCAATACAATGCGTTGGCTCTGGGGAAGTTGGTGCAGAATTAACAGCCCTGGGCTTCCCAGTTGATTCCTTTACTGCAATGCCTATGTGGCTCTCATGGTTATGAGGATGGTCATGGCATGCTAATAATGATACATTGGTAGTATTCATATGTTCTGATTTGTTCTTTGGCCAACTGGCTAATAGCACTTCCGTTTTTCAAAAATGTTCTTCAAGCTCAATATTGGATTACAATTTCTCAGACATATCTAGTAGTTACTTTCTTTTCCAATATCCTACACACCAATACAAAATTTCCTCCTACATTACTGTCTACAGCGTTTTGTTGTCCATCCAGAGACTTACCAAGTATCCTTATGGCTGTAAAATAAGTAACTAGACAGTTCCTTTTACCTTTGTGATCATCTTTCCCAGTATATTGGGACATTGTTTATTACATGTTAACAATTTTAGTGACTTGGTGTTTGTTTTTCCATCTAATAAATAGTTTTTTAATCTTGGTTTATGTGATGCCTAATTTTGGTAAAGTTGGTAAATATCTAAAGAAACTATGGGGAAATTTTTGATCACAAAGAATTTGGAAATCAGTGTGAGTTTATGAATGAGTATTTGACTCATTCATTATATATGTTATTCATTATACATGTTAAGGCAGTTCCTGAAGCTGATGGAAAGTGTGCTGATTTGTCTGAAGACCTGCCAAGGTGCTGGTAAGTACAAGCCTATGTGCAGAGAACAGCAAAAATGACAAGCTTATGCCACACACAACGTAAGAACAAGAAAAATCTAGTGAAAGAGTTCCTGAGAAAGATATTAGCATAGCAGCTGAGAGCACAACTGTGACTGATCATGGATAGCTAGTTTCATCTGCAAAATATTGTCTATCATGGATTAGCAATAATTTAAGCATAGTGAAGAATGTAAAGTTCTATCCAGCATGCAGAAAATGTTCAGTGATAGTGAATTATTTTCTTCATTGAAACAAACGTGTATGCTGAATATCTGCTTCGCCATAAACTCTGTTAGCTTTACTGGGGTTTAATTTTGATACAAAAAAATCATACACCTTTAATGTGTATGCTGTGAAGAGTTTGGAATATGAATACACCCAAGATATTCTCGCCACAGCCAAAGAAATACATATCCTTCACCTCCTAAGATTCCCTTGCCTGTTCTGTCTTCTTCAGTCACTTTAACATGTCTATCCTCATGATCTTTCTCAAAGTTCATGATGCTGTATTGTTGATTGTAGACTCTGTGTTGTAGAGCAGATCTCTAGAACTTACTCATCATGGTTAACACAGAGATTTTTAACCACTGAAAAATAATTTCCTTACATTCTCATAATATTAACAAAAAGTTAAAAAGAAAAATAACTTTTAATTTCCCTCTCCTCAAGTCTCTGGGAATCATCATTCCATTCTTTATTTTTATTTATTTATTTATTTTTACTTCTTTTAAAATTATCATTATTCTATGATGTCCTCTGGCCCCTCCGCAAGTCCACTCCGCCCCCCCAAATTACCCTATATCGTTACTATAGCTTAGTTCTTCATAAGCAGTCACATGTTCATCATTGCGGGCATGGATGATGGCAGAGTCTAGCATCCTGTTGTCAAGATACAGCCAATAGTTTCATTAGTAGTCCATCTTTGATCTGGAAGTAGAGATGCATTCTGCACTGCATCCTCACATCTGGACATGATCAATTATAGTCACCACACATCCCCTTAAATGAAAAGTCACAATACAAAATCAACAATAGGAAGAAAAATATCAATTTACAACACCATGAATATCTCAAGAGATTTTGACAGTTCAACAGTCCTGAATTGCTAGCAATCTGACCACTCCAATCACGATGAAATCTCTCCAGAATCCACTGGCTGACATAATCCACGTTAGAGTCTCCGTTTGCCCATGTATTCACTGCCGGTGCTTAGCTGGGGTATTTGATCATTTTGTTCTGTCCTCTGTCCTCTGCCATGGTACCAGGTATCCTCAGGAGGCTCTGATGTACTGCCATATCCTCCATGTACTTTTAGATATGCTGTCCTTTGCTCTGTCTGAGCCACTGAGGAGGCCCAGCTCTGACACAGCCACTCCCACAGTCAGACCATGGAACCTGCAATTCTTTGGAGTTCTGAGTCCAGTGGTTCATTTGGGAGGGATTCCCAAAGAAACTTCATCTCAGGTGATCCCAGACCTGATTCTTGTGTGTATTTGCCAATACAGGGTTTGGCACAGGCTGTCACTCAAATCAGCCTATGCACATGCTGGTAGTTGTAATTGCTGGGTCAGTTTTATTTCCAGCTCCATGTTTTATGCAAACTGATGGGTGTTGGAGTCCAGCCTGATCCTGCCCACTACATACTTGGCCTTCCCACAAACCGATGGGAGCTGCAGCCTAGTCAGAGCAACCTGCAAAACCCCCCACTGGACCCACCCCCTGCCTTGGTTCCTGTGCTTGCCGGTATGTATGGCAGACTGGTCCCATCTGTTCCACATCCCATTCAGCTCTCGTACATGCTAATGGGCATTGAAGCCAAGTTCATCCAAACTAGCTCCACTATCCAATCCACACTGGTGCCAGCAGATGCCACCATCTGTCTAAGCCAGAATTTGGCCCCTGTGCCAGCATCTGCCAGGTGATGCTGTGGCAAAGCCCAACCAACCCATACCCACACTGGCCTATGGTTGTACCAGAAAGTACAGTCAGCCCAGCCTAACTTTTTGCTGATCCAGCTCACATGTAGGCCATCAGATGTTGTGGCCTTGCCCAGCCTGGAATGCCCCCATCCCAGCTCTCATGCTCACCAGTGGGAGTAGTGGCTCAGTAGGGGAGTTACCCAAATGTCCCCACTTGACCCACTGCCAGACTCAAATCTCACATGCACTAGCAGGTGCTAGGCCCTTACCCGGCAGGCTCACCCCTTCATCTTGGCCTTTGTATGAACTGGTGGATGTTGCAGGCCGATCTGCCCCACACCCTGGTTTGGGATGCACATGCAGATGCTGCAGCTTGGACCACCTAGCCTATTCTCAGTGCCAGTATATGTGAGTGTTGGCAGGTTCCTTGTTCACACCTAGTTCAGCCCATCACCAACTATTTCCACAGGGTTGGGCCCACTTATCCCCCACAAAATCTGCCCCTGGAGCTGGCTCTCTCGTGTGCTGGTTAGTGTCATGGCCCCACCTGATGTGACCTTTCTCCTGTTCTGACACTCAGTCAGGTACTGGGATCTAGCTCTGTTAGACAGGGCCCCAGTCATAGCTTTTGTGTGGGGTGGCATGTGGTGATCAGCGATGCTCTGTGCTAACAAGCCCATCTCAGGACTCCTATGTGGGCTGGTGAATCAGTCTGACCCATAAAGATCTTTCAGTCTCTCCACTCC